TCGATGTTTCTTTCTCACATTGATGTTTTTCTCTCACTCTCTCAAAATAAAATCATTAAAAAGTCAGTTGTCATTAGTAACTAAAATACGCATTTATTTTTTTTAATTTTTTTTAAAAACTGTAAGAAATTCAGTGATATTCTGAAAGAGGCTTAAAAGAAAGAGATACCATCTCTACCTACATTTTCTAATGTGGGCAGTTTTTAAAACAAGAATATCCTTCATTTCTGAAGAAGAGTGAGCTGTTCTAAAACCTGAGTTGAGATCAGTGTCAGGGATTCAGTTTTTACATCAGAACGTCATATATACAGGACTTTCTTAAAAGCTTTTAAAGACTGTAGTGAAAGAAAAGGCTATTTTAAAAGAAAGCTTTTGGTTTTGATTTGTCTTTAGTTTAATTTGATATTTTAACTCAATTCATCTCTGAGAGGTGGAAGAATGTTCTTTTCTATCTGTTGCCAGTAATGTTACTGCTCTTTTTGGTTAGAGCTTATTTGTCATTACTATCTAAACCTTTCCTGTGTTTCTTTAAGAAAATCATTCTCTCCCTTTCCAGCAAAGTACCTCTGCCTAGAAAGGGAGGGAAGAAATTAATTCTTATTAAGTAGTAAGCAAAGTATGTAACAGGTCATTTCCAAATGAAAATACAGATAAATGGCTAATAAGAACCCCCCACATTTACCTTTTTATTTGAGAAAATAAAGGAAATGAGGTCATGTGTGGTTAGCAAATTTAAAATGGGAATAATTAGCCCTGGCCAGGTAGCTCAGCTGGTCAGAGCATCATCCTGAGATGCCAAGGTTGCAGGTTCAGCCCGGCCAGAACGCATAAGTGGAACAACAAGTTGACTCTCTCTCTCTCCCTACCCCCTCCCTTACTCTGACTCTCTCAAATAAATAAATAAAAATTTAAAAAAGAGAGTAATTGGTATTGACAAGAATTTGAGGAAAGAGTCCATCATGCCCTGGCTGGTGTGGCTCAGTGGGTTGGGCATCGTCCATGTACCAAAAGGTCGCCAGTCCCATTCCTGGTCAGGGCACATGCCAGGTTGTGGGCATGGTCCCTGGTAGGGGCATGCAGGAGGCAGCTGATCGATGTTTTACTCTCACAGTGCTCTCTAAAAATCAATTAAAAATCTCTTTTTAAAAATAATCATATCCAGTTATCGAGATTATAAGGAGCCTTTAAAAGAATAATTTGTCCGTGGCTGGTTTGGTTCAGTGGTTAGAACATCTGCCCACAGACCAAAGGGTTCGATCCCCAGGGGTCATATGGAAGGCAAACAATTGTTGCATCTCTCTCACAGTGATATCTCTCTCTCTCTCTCTCTCTCTCTCTCTCTCTCCCCCCCCCTCCCTCCCTCCCTCCCTCTTCCTCCTTCCCTTCCACTCTAAAAATCAATAGGAAAATATCCTCGGGTGAGGATTACCAATAAGTAAGTAAGTAATTAAATAATGTATTTATTTGCTTGCCTATATACTCTACAAAACACTCATACTTTTAACTTAGTATTGTTCTACATCTGTGACATTCTCCAAAGAAAGAAAACTGAAGTGCAGTTAGTTTTATATTCAAAAATGTTCTTTTAGGCACCTTTATAATAACATGAAATTAGCAATAATACATAGGCAAATAGTGAAATACGGGAACCTATGTGGTGAAATACTATGTTGCACTTATAATTGACACAAGAAAGAGATAGAAATGCAATACTGCTATGACAGGTTCTTGTAAAATAAACCCAGATCTTATCACCCCCTAATGCTAACAGCCAGTTTACAGGAAATGCAGAGGACAAAAGAATGTGTTAAATGTAACCAGTGGGGATTCAGTCAGCAAAATCCCCAACCTAAGAAACTACAGGAAAAACTACCTGGTTTCTTCACCTAATAAATGACAGTCCAAGCTCAGCTCTCTAACGTCTCCCATCTCGAGCAGTCGGTTCTCGACCAAGTCGTTCACAGAAAATGTTGTGGTTGTCAAACAAAACGTCACTTCTTGACCAGACAGCCATCACGCTGAATCCCTTGTGGTCAGTTAGCGTCTCTGGGACGACAACCAAGAGAAGAATGTGGGAGTGGGAGTCCTATTCCCTAAACCTCCCGGGGTTAACTTCTCGGGAAGTTGTTCTGTATTTTCAGGGTTCATGTTTTTGGGGGTTTTTTCCTGCTCCTGTTGCTGTTACTACAGTAAGTTACCATGGGTCCTCAGAAGGTCAGTGATAGCACAGTGAAAAGGAAAGTTGTTAGAACTACTTAAAAAATAAATAAGTGCAAAGTATAATAGAGGTGTTCTCAACCAGCCTTCCAGAATGAACTAAGTTCAAGAACCGAAGTTCCACTGTATAAGGAAAAAAATTCAGAGGTAGGGGAACTCATGGGTAAAAGAAATGCCAACCGCCCTGGCCGGTTTGGCTCAGCAGTTAGAGCATCGGCCCGCAGACCAGAGTCCCAGGTTCGGTTCCCGCTAAGGGCACGTACCTCGGTTGCAATTAGTCCCCGGCCCCGGTTGGGGTCGTGTGGGTGACAACCAGCCAGTGTGTCTCTCTCACGTCAACGTTTCTTTCTCTCTCTTCCTCCCTCTCCTTCCCACTCTATCTGAAGATAAATGCAAAAAATGTCCTCAGGTGAGGATTTTAAAAAAAGAAAGAAATGCCAACCAGTTCAAACAAACTAAAAATGTTTATAATTGGGTGGATTTGAAAATGAACTACATCTGATGGTGTTGAGGAATTATTAATGTTTTTAGTATGATAATGGTATTGTGACTGATACACATATCAGTTTATAGGATAATGTGTCTAGTTTGTTTCAGTTAATACCAGATTGGGGAGGGGTTGGGGGAGGAGCTGCAGAGGAAGCAGGGTTGTGACTGGCCTGCCCTGTGCTGATAGTTGTTGAAGTTGGTTGTGGGTGCCTGGCTTTATTTTTTCTACTTTGTGTGTGTTTGAAAATACCTACAATAAAATGCTCAAAAACAATAAACTTGAATATAAAAAATGTTACAGTTATTTTCAATGAAAAAGCATGATATACATGAGTAAATTTCAGCTTTGGTTTGTCAAGTACAGACGGGAAAATACACAAAATGTTAGTAGTGGCTGCTTTGGGGGGTAGATTATGCATGCCTTTTCATAATAAAATTTCATTGTATCATATAAATGTATATGCTTACCAAATATTTTACAGTGAGCACTTCTAAGTTTTATTTATTTTAGTGAACAGTTCCAAATTTAAATGATATATACAGTCAAACTGCACTTCATTTTTTTAGTCACCCAGTTATTCCCAGAAGTTACCAGTGTTACCCATTTCTTATGTCTCCATTTGGAAGATGTATATTTTTTTAAACATGCAAATTGTAGTGCACTGTATATACACTGTTTTGTTGCCATTGAACAACGTATCTGGAGATGGAGCCGTGTATGTTCATCGAAGTGCTCCTTCGTTTGTCACCTCTTAGCTGGTTTCTTCAGGTGGACGTTCAGACACTGCAGTGATGAGCCTCACGTGAATGCCGGTTTGCAACGTGCAGGTTCATTATAGGAAGAGTTACTGGTTGTGGAATTGCTGGGTCCAATCATGCGTATGTGATCTTGACAGCATTTTTCAGACTGCTGTCCGTATAGAGTAAAGACGGATGGGTTTTGTTTGCATCGCTCTTGGTGCAAGTGTGACAGGGTCTCGTCAGGGTTAAGAGCTGCTCTCGCTTCTGCAGGTGAGCTCTGGTCATGGCCTTGGCCTTTGTCCAGCTCAGTTATCGAGGGATTTTCTTAATGATTCATAGCTCACTGTGCATTTTGGAAATTAGACTTTTGTCTGTAATTTAAATTACAAATATTTTCCACCAATTTATTTGTCCTTTAATGTTTAATAGGGTTGGATTTGGGTTCTACCATACAACATTTAAAAAATTTTATTGTCAAATTGATCTATTGTTCTAGGTTTTGTGTGCTTTTGCCTTTCTTGAAATTTAAAATCTTATTTGTATTTTACACTTAAATATTTGATGTATCTGGAATATACCTAGTCAGTGTGAGATCTACTTTAATTTGGTTTCTTCAGCATCTTTTCTCCCTGATTGAAAGCGTCCCCTTTATCATACTCCAAGTGCCCGTGTGATTTTGGTGTGTGTGTCACCAGCCTGTTAGTTTAAATTATTGTATTTTTATATATTTTTAAATCCTCTGCAATTAGTCCTTCCTCGCTCTTAGAATTTTCTTGGCCCTTCTTGGTCCTTTATTTTTCACTATTAATTTGCAGATCAGCTTGTCTAGTACAAAGAAAAATTATTTGGGCATTTCTGTTGGTATGGCCTTACATTTAAAGATTAACTTAAGGAGCATTGACTTTTAGTGCTGTCCTCACCCCCTCCAGTCCGTGATCACGGTGTTTACTCCCTTCTACGTGCTCACTTGTTTCCCTTGGTAGCATCTCTGTGTTCCCTTCATATCTTGCTGTGTTTCTTGTAAAGTTTTCTTCTAGATTTTTCTTTATTGATGTTATAAATGTCATTTTTTTCGTCCCTAGTAATTTTTAGTTATTGTCTACATATATGAAAGCTAAAATACTATTCATTTTGTACCCACTCATTTTAAATTCACTTATTGCTTCTAATAGTTTTCAGTGGATATTCTTGGTTTTTTCACAATGTAATGATTTTATACAAAATTATACCATTTATAGATAACTATTTCCTTTCTAATACACTGATTTTTCTTTATAGTTATATGAACATAGTATTTTTAATCAGAAAATAATTTAAATGTATGAATCTTGAAGTGATACCTGCTCCTCATATTTGGCCCTGAATAGTCCTCTTCAAAGGTACAGTTCGACTCTTGACGCTCTCGTATTCTGACCCCAGTAGACCGTTACAGATACTTACTGGTACTTTCTCCAAATGTTAGCTTCTGAGAATTGGAATGTTCACTTTGGAAGTAAATATTCTTATTCATGATATTTAAATATTGAAACGTTATTTAATTGCTTTTTCCTCAGGATCAAATGGCTATTGCATGTGGATCTCGGGCCCATTTGCAGAAAGAATCGATTGCTCAGGTGAGGCTTCATAGCTGAGTAGGTCAGTAGTTCTTTCCTTTGTTACACGTACATTAGCACAAAATAAGCGTGTAGACTTAATTCATAAAGACGAGGTTCCTGCCTTGGCCATAGTGCTCAGTGGTTAGAGTCGAAGGGTCTCGGGTTCAGTTCCTGCCAAGGCCACGCCCATGACTTGCGATTCCACCTCCACCCCTGTGGGCCGCGGTCGGGGGGCACCCGTTGACCTGTCTCTTTCACATCAGGGTTTCTGTCTGTCTGTCTCTCTTCCCTTCTACTCTCTCTGAACATCAATGGAAAAAATACCCTCGGGTGAGGGTTTGCAAAAAAATAATTTTTTAATTTGGAAAGTTTATGCGGGACTGACACTTTTAGGAATTGGTTTTCCTTGTAATGAGTAGGAGAAGAATGTAGACTTTGCCTTGGAATCCAAACAGCACTTTTGTGTTTTTTTTTTTAAGACACAAAGGCGTCCCCATTTAGTTATGAGCCAAACTTTTCTAAATTATGCACTTTGAATCTCTCAGCTTCTTTTTGGTTTTTCCATAATTGGCACATGTAAGTACTATGTGTTGAGTTTCATTCAAAGTTTAAATTTTAAATTTTATCACTCTTAGAGACACACCATATCTTAATATTAGTCAAATTGTAACTGCCCATTTTAGGATATAAAAAAATAGAAGACATTAAATCCTTCATTTTGCAATAACCCTGAGATGACTTGAAGGAGTAAATATTATTAAGGAATTATTCTATGCAATGTTTTTGGTAGTTTTTATGTTTTTCAATTACTGTTAACATGCAATGTTACTAGTTTCAGGTGTACAGTGTAGTGATGAGGCAATTTTTAAAATTTTTGCTCTTAAAACATGTAGGCCTAGTATGTCAAGTCCAGTAATTGTTCATTATAGTCTCAGTGGTTCATCTATTGGAATGATCAACTGCATCAAAAATCAGGTTGTATTTTTAGCACAAGGTCAAAATTTCTTTTTTAGGTGCATAGTCCTGGTCCCAGACACTCTCAATTAGACTCTACCCATGGGGCTAGGAGTCTGCATTTCTAACAGTTTTCTGGGTAACCCTTATGCATACCAGGGTTTGAGAATCACCAGAGTAAAAGGTTCAACCATTTCCTCAATGATTCTGAAATAAGATATTAAGGCATTATAATTGTTTTTCCAAGATGAACTGATGGCAAAGTCATAGAACGTCTTAAGGATTATATTTAAATGTGCAAACCTAGACCCTCTGTTTTTTAAGAAACAAATTATTCTAACATCTTGAGTGTCTAGTTTATTATTTTATATCACTATGGACTTTCATTGGTGTTTGAAAAGGTTACTCTGTTAACCATAGAAAACATGATATGTTTATAAATTTAAAGCTGAGAGTCTAGAGATTAGTCCAACTTTATCAGTTTACAGATCCATGTGGGATAAAGAAAGAAAAGCATATGTCTGAGATATTCAGCACATTAGTTATAATGATAAAATACTAGAAACTATAAAATACTAAATTTCAACATTAGAAAATGTAAATATATCCTCTGGGTTAAATATGAAAACAATAAAGTAGATGAAAATGGAGACTGTATAACATAGGAAAATGCCTAAAATATTAAGTTGTATTAAGAAGGCAGTAATATATTATAAAAACAGTATAATTATGTGTATAAAAATAACTGTGCAAACTAAAACACTTCATGAAAATAGGCTAATATTAATTTAATGGTTTCATGAGTAATTATTTTTCTTTAAAAAAAAAATACCAATGTAGGGGACAAACCATAATCTGCTTGTTGAAGGATAAAGGTAGATTGGAGAAGTAGGAAGCCATGGGTAAGAAGCTGTTAAAGTGACCAGGGCAAGAGTTAGCTGGGACATATATTTACTGCTGTTGGCGGTGTAAAGGAACTGTGTTTTGTTTTTGTTTTTAATGCTGTAAATTCTTTTCACTTAGAATTTCCATTAGTTGAAAATTCTTTGAATTTTTTCTAGAACAGTATTTAAATGAGACTGCTGTGATCTAAATCTTATTTTACCCAGTACTGGTTTTAGCCAGACATCTAGGACTCTCTGCCTGCTTGTAATTTATTTTGTCCTTCATCTGTCCCTCCATCTCTAAAAGTAACCGATTGGCCCTGGCCAGGTGGCTCCGTTGGTTAGAAAATCACCCTGATGCACATGGTTGTGGGTTTGATCTCTGGTCAGGGCACATGCAACAAGCAACCAAAATGCAGGGGTGGCAGAACAGATCGGTGTTTCTCTCTCTCAAAATAAATAAATAATTTTAAAACTAAGTAATTGGTTTAGTGCTTTTGGGCCCCACAGAATTGGCTGCTAGACTGTAGAAGAAAGGATAAACTGATCACGTGACTAGAGATCAGCTGTTGTCTACTGCAGATGCTATTATAACTGCTGCTCGGAAGGCTTGTCATTCAAGTCCCGGTGATCTCATAGAACTATACTTCTTTCTTTTTCATTTTTAAATCGTTTTTATTTTTTAATTAGAGTTGACATGCATTATTATATTAGTTTTATCTAATCACATCACAGTGATTAGACATTGCATAACCTACTAATTGATCATCCCAGTAATTCCTGCACCCATCTGACACCATGCATGGTTATTAGAATATTGTTGACTGTATTCCCTATGCTGTACTTTACATCCCCACAACTATTCTGTAACAAACAATTTGTACTTCTCAATCCCTTCACCTTTTTCTCCCATCGCCTTAACCCCCCTCCCATTGGCAACCATCAAAATGTTCTCTGTATCTATGAGTCTGTTTGTTCTGCTTGTTTACTTATTTTGGTTTCTAGATTCAGTTTTTGATAGATATGTATTTATTGTGATTTTATCACTCATATATATATATATAATATATATATATATATTTTTTCTTCTTCTTAAAGAAGACTCTTCAGCATTCCGTATACCACTGGTTTAGTGGTGATGAACTCCTTTAGATTGTTCCTGTTTGGGAAGCTTTTTATCTGTCCTTTGATTCTAAATGATAGCTTTGCAGGGTAGAGAAATCTTGGTTGTAGGTCCTTGCTTTTCATCATTTTGAATATTTCTTGCCAATTCCTTGTGGCCTGCAAAGTTTCTCTTGCGAAATCAACTCTCAGTTTTATGGAAGCTTCCTTGTAGGCAACTAACTGCTTTTCTCTTGCTGCTTTTAAGATTCTCTCTTTGCCTTTAACCTTTGCATTTTAATTACAATGTGTCTTGGTGAGGACCTTTTTGGGTTCATCTTGTTTGGGACTCTCTGTGCTTCCTGGACTTATATGTTCATTTCCATCACCAAGTTAGAGAAGTTAAAGTTTTTCAAATAGGTTTTCATTGTTTTTTCAAATAGGTTTTCAATTTCTCCCTTCTCCTTCTAGCACCCCCATGATGCCAATGTTGGTTCTCTTGAGGTTGTACCAGTAGTTCCTTAAACTATCCTCATTTTAGTAGTGGTGGTGGTGAGGGTGATTATTTTTTCTTTTTGTTGTTCTCATTGTTTTCTATTTGTTTGTTTGTTTTTGCTTTCTTATATTCCAAATGGCTGATTTCAGTTTCAACTTTATCTACTCTATTGTTGATTCTCTGTAAAAATGTTTTCATTCAGTTAGTGTATCCTTCATTTCTGACCAGTCATTTTTTTTTTTTTTTTTTAATTTTAATTTTTTTTTTATCCTCACCCGAGGACATTTTTCCATTTTTTGTACAGATAGAGTGGGAGGGAGAGAGAGGAAGAGATAGAGAGAGAGAAACATCGATGTGAAAGGGACACATCGAGTGGCTGCCTCCAGCATGACCAACCAGGGTCGGGGACAAACTGCAACCGAAGTACATGCCCTTAGCGGGAACTGAACCCGGGTCTCTCCGGACCGCAGGTCGACGCTCTAACCGCTGAGCCAAACCGGCCAGGGCCAGTCATTTTTTTTTTATGCTGTTGAGGTTCACACTAGTTCATTAAGCATCCTTATAACCAGTGTTTTGAATTCTGCATCTAGTAGATGCTTGTCTCCATTTTGTTTAGTTAATTTTCTGGAGTTTTGCTCTGTTCTTTCATTTGGGACATGTTTCTTATTATGGCCTTTGCTTTGAAGTCTTTTTGCCCCATGTAAGTATTGTTTCCCCTGCTTTTTGTTTGTTTGATTTCATTTGCATGGAAAATCTTTTTCCATCCCTTCACTTTCATCCTGTGTGAATCTTTTATTTTGACAAGCATCACTTGTGGACAGTATATATATGGGTCATGTTTTATTATCCATTCCACTACCCTATGTCTTTTGATTGGAACATTTAATCCATTTACATTTAAGATGATTATTGATAGGTACTTATTTATTGCCATTTTTTCTTCATGTCTATGTTCCTCTCTCTATATATTTCTTCTTCTTACAGCAGTCCCTGTAACATTTCTTGCAGGTTTGGTGGCATTAAACTCCTGTACCCTTTTTGTCTGGGAAGCTCGTTATTTCACCTTCAAGTTTGAATGGTAGCCTTGCTAGATGGAGTAGTCTTGGTTTTAGATCCTTGCTTTTCATTACTTTTAATACTTCATACCATTCCGTTCTAGCCAGCAATGTTTCTGTTGAGAAATCAGCTGACAGCTTTATAGGAGTTCCCCTGTAGGTCACTGTTTGTCTCTTTCTGCCTTTAAGATTCTCCCTTTGTCTTTAACATTTGCCATTTTAATTATGATGTATCTTGGAATGGGTCTCTTTGGGTTTATCTGTGCTTCCTGAATTTGTGTGACTTTTTCCTTCACCAGCTTAGGGAAGTTTACTGTCATTATTTCTTAAAACATGTACTCTATCCCTTTTCACTTCTCCCTCTGGTTACCCCTATGATGCCAATGTTGTTCCGTTTCAGATTCTCCCAAAGTTCCCTTAAACTGTACTCATGCTTTTAAAATATTTTTTTCTTTTTCCTGCTCTTATTGAACTTTTTTTTTCTACTTTGTCTTCTAATTCACTTAGTCTGTCCTCTGCTTCATCTAGCCTACCTTTAATTCCTTCCAGCACAGTCTTGATGTCAGATATAGTATTCTTTTATCCCTGGTTCTTATTCATAATCTATGTCTTTTGTCGTGCTGATTTAGCTCCCACTAGTTTCCTTAGTTCTCACTCACTTCCTTGAGCATCTTTATAACCATTACTCTGAACTCCATGTCTGTTCATTTCCTTCCCTCCATCTCCTTTAGATCGTTTTCTGGCAGTTCCTCCTTTTCTTTAATTCGGGGGTTTCTTTGTCTCTCCATTTTAGTTGTCTCTGTGTTTGTATCTATGCCTTAGATGTACTTGCTGCGACTTCCAGTCTTTGTGGTGTGGGCTTTTGTAGTAAGTGCCCTGTGGGACTCAGTGGTGTGGTCTCCATGTACCACTGAGTTGTATACTTTAGGTGTGACCTTTTTGTGGGTTATGTGGCTCTCCTGTTGTAACTGGGTCAGCAGGCCAGTGAGGGGGAGGGGGAGGGGGGCCGGGGAGGGGGAGGGGGGTGAGGGTGCTGCACGGGGTCAGCCGGCCGGGGAGGTGGAGGGGCGGGGCGGGTGCTGCGCGGGGTCAGCCGGCCGGCCGAGCCCCGGCGGCGCGGGCGGGAAGTCACCGCCTGTCCTGCCCTGTCCTTGCAGCGCTCCTACTTCCGCACGCTGCTCATGTACGGCTTCCACGGGCTGGTGTGGGTCCTGTGCGTCCGGGGCATCCGGGACACGCAGTGCGGGTTCAAGCTGCTGACGCGGGAGGCGGCCCGGCGGACGTTCTCGTCTCTGCACGTGGAGCGCTGGTAGGTGCCCATGCGGTGTGTCTGTCCGTCTGTCCGTCCGTCCGTCCGTCCGTCCGTCCGTCCGTCCGTCCGTCTCACTCCACCTCAGGCCGCGCTCCTCGTGGGCGCCCGGGGGGCACAAGCGCAGTTCTCCGTGTGTCTGTGCCGCTGCCCTTCGCGGGGTCGGACCTCATGCGGACACCCCAGCAAAGGCCGGCGGGAAGGGACGTGCACAGCGACCCGGCCGCCTCGGCCTTCGCGGGGTCACGTCTCCGGCCTGCGCCCAGCTCGGCCTCCGCTTCTCCTCCCGCCCGCGTGCTCGCTCCCACCTGCCTGTTCCCTCGCCCACGTCTTCCAGATTTAATACAAGTTTAAGTTTCTCTTGCGTTGAAAGCAAACCCTCTCTAGGGCCGCCCCGCGCCCCCACCCCACACCCCGCACCCCCACCCCGCGCCCCCTCCGCCGGCCCGTCCTGCAGCCGCCGCTCCGGAGACCGTGTCTGTTCCGTTTTCTCATCGACTCTCGCTCTTCACCCTCGTTGATGTGGGTTTTCCTCCTCCTCGTACCTAACACGTGGCCACTTCACGTGTTAAACCCAGTGGTCCTGTTTTCTGTTTGGTTTGGGGACCGTGCCCCTGGCGGAACCGAACTCGGGAATCTGGTCCGCAGGCCGATGCCCCGACCGCCGGCCGGACCGGCCAGGGTCAGCGGTCCTGTTGAATGTGCCGGTTTATTGTCCGATTGACCGTCGTCGGGTCCGTACTGGGCTCTGGACACGCGGTTCCCGGGCTCTGCCTCCGCCCCCCGGGCCCTCGGCCTGCGGCGCGACGGACACCGACCTCCTGCCCGACCGACCGCCGTCCCCCCTTCGCTTCTCGTCCCGGCCACCCCTCCCCGACCCCGGCTCTCCCTGTGCTGCCGCCCGGGGGATCTTTTCAGACACTGAGGCGGATCCGTCAGGTGCTGCTCCTCCCTGCGGCCCTTCGCTGCTTCCCGGGCCCAGAAATAGGCTGAGCGGTACCGGCCGAGCCTTCGGTGCCCCCCCCCCCCCCGCCCCGAGTCTGCACCTGCCAGACCTCGGCGGCCTGTCCCTCAGGTCACCTGCCCCTTAGTTCCCAGACGAGACCAGACGCCCGGGTCATGTGCTGCTGCAACACGAGCCGTTCTCGTAGCACGTGCCCCGTGGTCCTGTGCCCCGTGGTCCTGTGTCCTGTGTCCTGTGTCCCGTGGTCCTGTGTCCTGTGTCCTGTGTCCTTCTAGCTAGAGGCCCGTCCGACTGCTCACGGCACAGCCTGCGTCTGACGGGCCTGGCACCGCTCAGTGCTCGGTGAGTGTTGTGAACAGTTAGCAGTGTAAGTCGTCGGCTCTGTGTGAGTCGGTTCATGGGGGACAGACACCCAATTGCTCCAGCAGGTGCTCCTTCTCGTCCCCCCGCTTCGTGCGTCTGTGCTGCAGAGACCTGTTCCTTCCCTGGAAACAGCGTGTGCTCCCCACCCCGAAGACACTCGAGAAATTCTACTTTCAGAATGAAAATGATCATTCAAACCTGTTTTTTAATATTTTTTAACTACATTAGAAAAATTTTTACGTAATCTATATTTGGTCTTCAATTAATTGAGATACATGGTTTCGTTGTGCCGAAGAACAGAACCTGCTGACGCTGATGAGCTCTGAAGCTGGAGAAGCTGACTTGAGAGGCTGCTCTGCAGGCAGTGAGGCCTCCACCTTCGATATTTCTGTCCGCTGCCACGTCCGGTCGAGAGCGGAGAACTCGGTCCCTTGCGGTTTAAAGGGGGCCTTACAAAGGAGAACACTAGGGCAGGACTGACAACTTCCAAGTCATGAAGGGTCCCGGTCAGAGTCGCTGCAGGGAAGTTTTGGCCAATAGACATATAATATGAGACCGGGTACCGGAGGCAACCGATTGATTTTTCCTTGTCTCATCAATGTTTCTCTCTCCCTCCCCAAGAAAAGTCAATAAAAAAGAAAGATGGAATTTACTTTAATAATATACTTAACATAATATAAAAATATTGTCATTTCAGTATGTACTCAGCATGAAAAAACATTATGCTCAACATTCTTTTCTTTGTACCGTATCTTCCAATAATAGTACATCTCCAATAATAGTACATCTCCGTTCAGCCTGGTTACCTGTCAGTGCCCAGTAGCCTCAGGTAGCTCGTGGCTGCTGCACTGGACAACATAGTTGTAGGATATTTGGGTTTTTTTGTTTTTGTGTTTTTTTTTGGTTTGTTTTTTTGGTTAAAGAACCTTTAATATGTTTTTGTTCTTCTTTAAACGTTATGTTCATGTGCATGACTTTTACTTTATTTTGTACTTGGTGGACATAGCAGTGACCCGAGTTAAACCGTTACCTCATGTTTCTCTGGAAGGTCCAGTTATGTCATCTTGTACTGTAAAGGAGAACCACCAAACATGTATCGACTTGGTTAGTGATGCCCTTCACCACAGCAATGTTTCATCAGTAGCTGCCATTTAAACATCCTTTAAATCAAGATCATGCACATTCAATCAAGAAAGACTAAAAAAAGGATGTCTTATGTAGTGTGAGTTATAGAAATCAGGTTGTGCATCTGCTTATTTCCATATACGTGTCCCCTAGACTTGCTTCTTAAAAGTTTATTCTAAAGATTCATTGAAATTTTTCTCATAACTTTCAGAAAAATCCAAGTTGAGTTTCAAGATACCAGAAAATGTCAAGGATTATAGCTGAAGATAAAAGACTGTAGACATCTCTTTAATTCAGAATCACAGACTTGCGTATATGTAATGTTAGGTATAAATGTTTATGTATATAATCTCACAACTGGGTCTCACTTAAATTCTTTCTATTTAATGTTAAGGTATAATTTCACTGAGTTTATGGGTAACTTTAAAAATGAATTCTTTGAAATGTACTTTCTTCTGATGAATACTTTTTATTTTAATCAATGTTATACATATTTATAATTTAATTTCAGTCCCAGAAGGCTTAAAACAAAAAAGCATCTGTCCCTTGCCTCATCCCCAATTCTTACTCTGTAACTATGGCCACTGTCAACTCTAAGGTTTTTTGTGGTATTTGCTTTCATATCCAGAATTATGGGTCTGTCCAGCTGTGTCCGTTTTCAGTTTTAGATACTACTTTTCAGCCCTGGCCAGTTTGGCTCAGCGGTTGGAGTGTCGGCCTGCGGTACAGAGAGACCCGGGTTCGGTTCCCGCTAAGGGCACGTACCTCAGTTGCAGTTTGTCCCCGGCCCTGGTTGGTCGTGCGGGTGGCAGCCACTCGATGTGTCCCTTCACATTGATGTTTCTCTCTCTCTCTCTTCCTCTCTCTCCCTCCCACTCTATCTGAACAAAAAATGGAAAAATGTCCTCGGGTGAGGATTAAAAAAATAATAATAATAGATACTACTTTTCAGAACAGAAAACCAGTGGATATGTGTGTAGTTCTCCTGAACTTCGTACCCTCCATAGTTATTCTCTAGATGCAGTTTTAAAATAATTTTGGGGTAGATCAGTATTGATAGTTACAGCTCTGTAAAGATAATTTACATGTGAGCCACAGAATGCAATATGAAGATTACCTTTCTTGTAGTACTTTTTGTTTTTCTAAAGATAATGACTGTCACCTTGGCCAGGGTGCTCAGTTGGTTGGAGCGTCATCACATGTACCAAAAAGGTTGCAGAGTCAATTCTCAGTCAGGGCATATTCCTAGGTCATAGGTTGATCCCCCTTGGGGCATGTATGGGAGGTAACCGATTGATGTTTCTCTCTCTCTCCTTCACCCTTCCTCTCTCTCTCAAATCAATAAGCATATCCTTGGGTGAGGATTACAAATTATTAAAAACTATGTATCATTGTTTGTTTATATTATATTATAATATGTAAGGTGGTCCGTCTGGTGTACAGACCTCCCTTGCTGTGTCCTGACACATCCGATCTGATCAGCGTCACCTTTTCCTTGGAGACATCCTGTCGGCTGTTCCCTTCTGGTTCCCCGGCCTCCTGCAGGCTCCTGCTTCATCTCCTGCTCCATCCCCCTTTCCTTGGTGACACCCTGCTGCCGTCGAGCACACCCCTGTCCCCCACTTGTGAGAAGGGAATTGTGAAGTGTTGCACGTAAAAGAGTGTCCTTACTCTGGTCTCACACGTGTTTGATAGTCAGCTGGGGGATGTTAGGTTGGAAATGAGTGGTGTGTTTGTGGAGAAGCTCGGTTCGTAGAGAATGTGAACTTGATGTGGTTCCAGGTGTGTGGTCTCCGTGCGCACCCACCAAGCCCCTACCCCAGCTGTGGGAGCCTTTTCTCCAGTGCTTTGAAATATCGTGATTCAGGACCTTAACAAGGCTCTTCTTCATGTGTGTGTTGAAGTCTCCGTGGGCATCTAATCTGGAAACCACGTCCTTGAGTTCCGAGAAATGTCCTTGAATCATTTCTTTCACAGTCTCTCTGCTCTCTTGTGTAAACAGAACCTTCCTACTGATTTCATAATTTTATCTTTTCCTCTTTCTTCTATTTCTCTTCTTTTGAGATTTCAATTTTACCATTCAATCCTCCTTTTGAATTTTTATTTCTGCTCTCAAAATTTAAATTTCCTATAACTCTCATTTCCAGTGTTCATTTTTTTTTTAAGAATCTATTGTTTCATGACTACAGTATCTTACACTAGTTAATGCGTCATTTAAAACCTCGACATTTTTTGCCCTGGCCAGTTTGGTTCAGCAGTTAGAACATTGGCCCATGTACCAAAGAGTTGTGGGTTCGATTATAGTCAAGGGCATGAACCTTGGTTGCAGTTTGTCCCTGGCCCTGGTTGGGTCGTGTGGGAGGCAGCCAGTCGATGTGTCTCTCTCACATCGATGTTTTTCTCTCTCCCTCCCTCCCTCCCTCCCGCTCTACCTGAAGATAAATGCAAAAATGTCCTCCGGTGAGAATTTAAAAGAAAACTTTGACTTTTTTTACTTTCCCTGCATTGTTTCTGTCCTCCAACTTTCTTGTTTGTTTTTGTCATTAAAGTCTGTCCTCAGGAAGAGACATGATTTCTGTGGCAGTAGCAGCATCATGAAGATAATGAACCCGGAAGCAAAGAGATACAGATGTTAAATAGTGATGTCTTTCTGCACCTGGCAACAATGTTGCTTTTGTTGTTGTTAATCCTCACCAAGGACATTTTCCCGTTGATTTTTAGATAGAGTGGCAGGGAGGGACGGAGAGAGAAACATCAAAGTGAGAGAGACACTGACTGGCCTCCTCCCATCTCACATGACCCGACCAGGGCTGAGGACAGAACCTGCAACCCAAGTACGTGCCCCTGACCAGAATCGAACCTGCCAACCTTTGGTCAGTGGGCAACTACTGAGCCAAACTGGCCAAGGCAAGATAGTTGCTTTTTTTTCTTTTAATCCTCACCTGAGGACATTTTTCTGTTTATCTTCAGACAGTGGAAGGGAGGAAGAGAGAGAGGAACATCGCCGTGAGACATATGGACTGGTTGCCTCCTGCATGACCCTGACCAGGGCCGGGAACAACCACAACCCAGGTATGTGCCCCCGACTGGAATGGAACCGCGAACCTCTGGTCAGTGGGCTGACGCCCTAACCGCTGAGCCAAGCCGCCGGGGCGGGACAGCGGCCCTGGAGGCTCCGGGCGCGCAGTGCAGTGTCTCCGCTCCCACTGCAGCGGGCTCGGCTGGACCAGGAGACATTGTTCCTTCAGCTGCTGCAGGACGTAGACTTGGACTCCCTGTGACATGTTGTTTCTTTGATTAAGTGACTTTCACAGTTAGGCCACCTGGAAATGCTTTCATCTTTACCTGTGCTCCTTGTTGTAACACAATTATAGCATGAAGGAATAATAATAATAATAATAAAGTCCATCCTCGGGTGTTTTTAGCACGGTGCTAAGAGCTGTGTGAGTGGCCAGAGCCCCGAGGGACCAGGAGATGTCACTGCAGATCCAGTGGCATTTTGTGTGGAGTCTCCCAACTGCCGTTATGTTCTGAGCTCGTCATTGTCCCTAAAGTGGGTCCTTCCATCTCCTGCCTAGGAGACATGAACTAATTGGAGGAAAGGAAAAGCCATAAGATTTTAGGGGGTCCTCCTGTTTGTACCCCTATTGGTTGACATCATTTGAGGCCTCTGATGCCTGAAACTTTGGGGGCCTCTGGGACCCAGGAGCCTCTTCTAGGCTCCTCCCTCTGCCTTTGTCTACTTTCCTAGTTACCAGTTCCCGCTTCTCTCCGACTTTCAAAAAGTATCACTGTCATTTCCTCGTCTCTTCTGGTGTTTTCATCCGTCGCTGTCTTAATGTTAGTGGGCTTCTGGGCGAGACCCGCAGGCACAGGGGTGTCCGCTGTGTTCTGAGGAGTCGTAAGATGCTCCGGTTCTCCGGGAACATACCAGCCCGTGAGGTGACAGGGAGCCGAGAAGGAAACATGGTCCCGCCCCCACCTCCGCAAACCCCGTGAAGGCCTCTTAGTGGGGAATAACCCTTCGACTGCTCCTCCGCATTTTAATTGTGACCCTTGCTTCGGTAGCAGATTGGTCTTTTACTACGGATTGGTCTTTTACTTAGTGATGGGAAATATAATTAAAAAGAAATAAACATCTTCCTGTTTTTTAAAATGTTTAAGGGGAGAAGGATTTGATAAAAAAATAATTCAGAATTGCCAATGATATATCAGATAAGGGGTTAATTTCCAATCCATATAGAGTGCTCATACAACTCCACAAAAGGAAGACAAATAATCCAATTAAAAAATGGGCAGAGGAACTAAATAGACACCTCTCCAAACAGGACATACAAATAAATGGCTAAGGAACATCTGAAGAAATGCTCAACATCACTAATCATCAGCGAGATTCAAATTAAAACAACCATGAGGTATCACCTCACACCTGTCAGAATGGCCGCCATCAACAAACCATCAAACAACAAGTGCTGGCGAGGGTGTGGAGAAAAGGAGACTCTAGTGCACTGCTGGTGGGAATGCAGACTGGTGCAGCCACTATGGAAAACAATATGGTGTTACCTCAAAAAATTAAAAATTGAACTTCCATTTGACCCAGTGATCCCACTTCTGGGAATATACCCTAAGAAGCCTGAAACACCAATCAGAAAGAATATATGTAACCCCATGTTCATAGCAGCACTATTTACAATAGCTAAGATCTGGAAACAGCCCAAGTGTCCATCAGTAGACGAATGGATAAAAAAGCTGTGGTACATGTACACAATGGAGTACTATGCAGCTGTAAGAAAGAAAGACCTCTTATCCTTTGAGACGACATGGAGGGACCTGGAAAGTATCATCCTAAGTGAAACAAGCCAAACAGAGAAAGACAAGTCATATGATCTCACTTATTTGTGGAATATAATGAACATAACAGTCTGAGGAATGGAGTAGTCCCAGAGATGTGGAAGTGGGATACAGACTGACAATCCCCAGAAGGGGGGGGGGGGGGATAAACCACAGAACTTATATGCATGTGTGCATAAACAGTGCACATGGACAACAAACTGGAGACGGCAGGGAGGGGGGAATCAGTGGGGGGAAAGGAGAAACATCTGTAACAAAAATTAATTAATAAAAAATAAATAAATAATTCAGAAGGTAAATTGTCCTTTATGTTTTTAAATATAATTTCAATTAATCAGTGCTTTACCCACCACACACTTATTTTCATCATTCTTGGGTTGTTTTGTATCTTTGAAAAGTCACTGATTATAATCGATATCCTTAGAAATTTGCTTAATAATCTTGTTCAGATTATTGAATATCATTTTAACTAACTCAGACCACTAGGTAATTTTTTGTTTTTGTGTTGAAGTTAAGAGGTGAGGATTAAGCACCAGGCTTAATATTCAAATCATTTCCTTCTCTCCTGAGTGTCACAGTTCTAGTTAAAGGAGTTCTGCACAGTCCTTTTAAAACACAAAGAACATTTTACAGATGATTTTATCCCCTTAAGTAAATATTTTACTGGGATAAGAAAAAGATTGTGTTTTTAAAATTTGTTTTTATACTGAATTATAAATACTTGGCATTTAAACTGGTTGCATATTGGATGGTGGTGCTAGTATTGCCCAAAACACAAAACTCCCAAATTCGGGTTGTCTGGGATCAGGAAATTCAGATAGAAGTGGGTTTCAGGCATTTCTGTGCTGATATTTAGAACCAAGCCCTGGAAGTCTGACGTGCGTTCCTGCCGTCTGGGTCCTTACTGACTCGGGGATGAAATAAAAGGGTGACGGGCCCCCTGCCCCAGAGACGTTAGAAGAGGTGAGTGTGGGGCGCAGGGTGCGGCGCTCCCTGAGCGTAGTGCCAACGGAGGAAGCTGCCGATCGAGAGAATTTTTTAAGCGGAATTCAGGAAAACTGAGTCCGGATTCAGAAACTTTAAGGAGAACGGATTTGACCTGCACCAAGGGGCGGACTGAAGAGGAGCTTTGGGGAAGAACCTGTCTCCTGAGCAGGACAGACGAACCGGGAATTCAGACCAGGGACGGTTGTATCACTGAATGTAAACACGAGACCGTGTATTTAATTCCTGTGTGTGTGTAATTATGTTCAAAGGGCAGTCAGACTAGTCTAAGCTGGTGTTTAACTTCCAGTAATGTTGATGCCGGAGGCCCAGGATGGCCGGGGAAGGAACGAGAAAGACGAAGACCCCTGGCCCTGCGGGGTCGGGGAAGGTCACCGGGCGGCTCCGAAGGGCCCGGGATTCTGCCCGAGAGCCGCCCAGACCCCGCTCCACCCGCTCGCTGAGCGAAAATCTCCGGGTTCTGAGCCCTGAGCCGGTCGCAGCTGGGACCCAACACCACGGGTCTTGAGATTTTCCAAAATGAAACGTTCTCCTGGGGCCCGACAGGCCCTGCTCCCCCGGGAGGCTCGGGCTGCGCTGCGGCGACGTCAGGCGGTCACGCGGGTGACTCCGGGCGGTTCGCGTCCGCTGGGCCTTCTCCCCGGCCGGGCCGGTGTCCGAACCTGCGGGCAGAGGCCCCGTCACACTGTCCGGAACTAAGCAGCCGCGTCTCTTCTCTTCCAGGGCGTTCGACGTGGAGCTGCTGTACATAGCGCGGTCCCTCCGCGTCCCCGTGGCCGAGATCGCCGTCAACTGGACCGAGATCGAAGGTGAGCGCTGCCGTCTGCCAGCTGGTCTCGAGGGGGGAGGGGACGCGAGTGGGGGAGGGGGCGGGAGTGGGGAGGGGACACGACGGGGGGGGGGGCCGGGAAACGGCGCAGCGGCCCCTCCCCCCGGCGCCCCCCTACGTGCAGCTCCCCCCTCCCGCTCCGGCTGCTCTGCCCTCGCCCCGGGTGCTCAGGAGGCTCCCACCGCCCAGAAACCCAGTGGAACCTGCTGGGCTGATTGTCTTTGAGATAAACTGTTACTTCCGCCGCCGTCTTCTCAGTAGGGTCTCATGTCCTCCCTCAGTGGGGTCATCTGAGCCCCACGGACACTGCGAAGTTAAATGAGGAGCAGCAGTTGCTTTTACCCCAAATGCCCCGGACCGTTCAGAGGCCCTTAACCGGCGTCGGCGTCCCCCCGAAATCCGCGCCGTGGGCCGTCCCGACCCTCCACTCCGCCCCGTGCTCGGGCGGGGCTGGCCGCGCGGGGTTCGGGACAGTCCGGTTGTCTCCGGCCTCCCGAGAACCACCCCAAGTTCAGCCAGGTCACCTGCGCCCGGGTGAGCGCGGCCCCCGGGGCTCCGCAGGCCCGACGTGCATGAGATGATGACTCCGTGCACTTTATTTTTTAATTTTTTTTTTTATCCTCACCCGAGGATATTTTTCCATTTTTGTTCAGGTAGAGCGGGAGGGAGAGAGAGGAAGGGAGAGAGAGAGAAACATCGACTTGAAGGGACACATCGAGTGGCCGCCACCCGCACGACCAACCAGGGCCGGGGACAACGGGAACCGAACCCGGGCCTCTCCGGACCGCAGGTCGATGCTCTAACCGCTGAGCCAAACTGGCCAGGGCACTTCGTGCACTTTCAATGCTACTGAGCTCTGTTTGCAGTCACCTCAGCGCAGCCAGGGGACAACCGGGAGAGGGGAGCCTTGTGTGTGCAGGTTGTCAGTGGTCATCAGTCCTGTGACTGGGCCGCGTCCCTGACCGCCGGCCCCGGCCCCTGGCCTGTGCGGATGCACCGACAAGACAGCCCCAAGGGGAGGAATCGGGATGGGACACTGGACAGGCTCAGAGGTGTCTTCATGTCTCCGGGCTCATCGCCGTCCGGTGGTCACAGGACAGGAGGTGACAGAGCTGGGCCCGCATGTGTGCAGCCGAGAGTCTCCGGTACAATTAGAAGAAAAATCAGCCTTTTCTCTTCGATGTCTTATCTCAGATTATTAACCTGTACTTGTGTGTAGAGCTGTACTTGATTGTAGTACAGATGGTACTGAAAAGTAGTGTCTAAAACACGAAAATTTCTCCCCTCAAATCATTCTTAGATGTGTAGATGGAATCATTTACCATATATATACAGAATATAAATGAAATTAAGGGGCCTAGAGGCTCGCTAAAGTCATGTACACTGACTTCTAAAATATAATTGTAAACTATATATTTTTTTTCTCCCTAGTATATTTAAGATAATTAATTTTAATTTTTTTTAATTGCAGGTTCTAAGCTAGTTCCATTTTGGAGCTGGCTGCAGATGGGCAGGGACCTGCTTTTTATACGACTTCGATACATGACTGGTGCGTGGAAGCTGGGACAAACCAGGAAATTTGATTAGGTTATTTGCTGTCTTTGTATTATATATCATTGTGACTTTATTTCATTTCAATTAAAATTTTAAATAAAGCTGAAATAAACCTCTGCCTTTTGATCATTTTCGAGAATTAACTGCCATAAGTAAACATTTTTATATGTCTCTGGACAAAAATAAATTTAAGGTGTTTGTAACAAATGTCAGACTTCCTTTTGCTTTAGTAATTTTGTTTATTTAGATGATCACTGTGAGACTAAGACATATAGGGTGTCCCCCCAAAAATGTATACACAACTTTGAATAATTATAAACCCGGTGTTTATTAAAAAACATTTCATCTTCAAAATATAATAGCATCTACAAACATCCTGTATCCATTTTTTTGGAGGACACACTATAGTTTTTTTTTTTATCCTCACCTAAGGACATTTTTGCATTTATCTTCAGGTACAGTAGGAAGGAGAGAGGGAGAAAGAGAGAAACATCGAGTGGCTGCCACCCACACAACCCCAACCGGGGCTGGGGACAAACTGCAACCAAGGTACGTGCCCTTAGCAGGAACCGAACCCAGGTCTCTCTGGTCCACAGGCTGACTCAGCTCTAACCGCTGAGCCAGGGCCACACTGTATAATTTTTAAACAAGACAGAAGCAATTATTTCCACTGTAAAGTACACTGCATAATTTTTATGAACTTAAAGATAAACCACAATTGTGTAAAGTGGTTTGGGATTCAAAATAAAGTCAACATCCCTGGCCAGGTTTGTCAGTTGGCAGAAGCGTTGTCCTGTGCACCAAAAAAGGTTGTGGGTTTGATTCCCAGTCAGGGCCCATACGGGAGGCAACTCATCTGTGTTTCTCTCTCTTCTTATTTCTCTCTAAAATCCAATAAAAACATATCCTTCGGTGAGGATTATAAAAAAAAAAAATTTTAAGTTAATATATATGTTTATTTTTTTGTATTTAAAGGTATGGAAATAGTGATTTTTTTTTTTACTAAATCATTTTTTATTTTTCAATTGCACTTGCCATACAGTATAATATTAGTTCCAGGTGCACACCACAGTGGTTGTACATTATGTAACTTACTAAGTGATCATCCGAGACATCTCATGCCCATCTGACGCTATGCATAATGATTAGAAGAGTATGTTCCCTGTGCTGTGCCTTACCTCCCATGACTGTTCTGTGACGGCCCATCTGTACTTCTTAGTCCCTCCTTCATCACCCCCCACCCCAGTCTGGCAACCTTCCCACTGTTCTCTGCGTCTGTAAGACTGTTTCGGTTCTGCTTGTTTATTTTTGTTGTTTGTGATCCCTCCTACTTTGTTCTTTTTTTTTTCAAGATGGCTGTGGCTATTCCTTATCTGTTTCGGTTCCAAATAAACTTTTGGAGTATTTGTTCTAGTTCTGTGAAATGGGTCATTGGTATTTTAATGGGGATCGCATTGAATCTATAGATTGCTTTGGTAGTATGGAAATTTTAATGATGTTAATTCTTCCAATCCACGAACAAAATATATGCTTCCACTCTTTTATATCTTCCTCATGTCTTTTTTCAATGTCCTGAAGTTTTCTAAAAACAGGTCCTTTCCTCCTTTGGTTAGGTTTATTCCTAGCTATCTTAATTTTTCTGCTGCAGTGGTAAATGAGATTGTTTTTTAGTTTCTCTTTCTGTATAAGAATGGTGTCAATTTCCTGATGTTAATTCTGTATCTTGCTACTTTGCCAGATTCATTTATTAAATCTAGTAGATTTTTTGTTTGTTTGTTTTTTGTTCAGATAGAGTGGGAGGGAGACAGAGAGAAACATCCACATGAAAGGGACGCATCTAGTGGCTGCCACCCACACGACCCAACCAGGGCCGGAGACAAACTGCAACCAAGGTACGTGCCCTTAGCGGGAACCGAACCTGGGTCTCTGGACCGCAGGCCGACGCTCTAACCACTGAGCAAAACCGGCCAGGGTAAGTCTAACAGATTTTTTTTTTTTATTACTTTTTTTTTTATCCTCAACTGAGGACATTTTTGTTCAGATAGAGTGGGAGGGAGAGAGAGAGAAACATCAACGTGAAAGGGACACATCGAGTGGCTGCCACCCACACGACCAACCAGGGCCGGGGACAAACTGCAACCGAGGTACGTGCCCTTAGCGGGAACCGAACTCGGGTCTCTCTGGACCGCAGGCCGTCGCTCTAACCGCTGAGCCAAACTGGCCAGGGCAGTCTAGCAGATTTTTGATGGAGTCTTTAGGGTTTTCAGTGTGCAATATCGGGTCATCTGCAAATAATAACAGTTTCCAATTGGGATCCCTTTTATTTTTTTCTTCTTATCTAATTGCTGTGGCTAAGACTCCCACTACTATGTTAAAGAGTGGCAAAAGTGGGCATCCCTGTCTTGTTCCTTTTCTTAAGGGAAATGCTTTTAGTTTTTGCCCATTGAGTAGGTCTTTCATATATGGCCTTTATTATGTCAAGATGTGATCCCTTTATTCCCACATTGCTGAGTGTTTTTATCAGAAATGGATGCTGGATTTTGTCAAAGGCTTTTTCGGCATCTATTGATATGATCATGTGATTTTTATTCTTCATTTTATTTATGTGATGTATCACGTTTATTGATTTGTGAATATTGTACCAGCCTTGCATCCCTGGGATGAATCCCACTTGGTCATGGTGAATATTTTTTTGATGTATTGCTGGATTTGATTTGCTAGTATTTTGTTCAGGATTTTGGCATCTATGTTCATCAGGGATATTTGCCTGTAGTTTTATTTCTTTGTAGTGTCTTTTTCTGGTTTTGCAATTAGAATTATGCTGGCTTCATAAAACGAGTTTGGAAGTCTTCCTTCTTCTTGAATTTTTTGAAATAGTTTGAGGAGAATGGGTCTTAGTTCTTCTTTGAATGTTCGGTAAAACTCCCCCGTGAAGCCATCCGGGCCTGGGCTTTTGTTTGCTGGGAGAGTCTTGATTACATCCTCAATTTCTTCTGTTGTTATTGGTCTGTTCAAGTTTTCTATCTCTTCCTGGTCCAGTTTTGGGAGACTATGTGTTTCTAGAAATTTGTCCATTTCTCTTAGATTGTCGAATTTGTTGCCATATAATTGTTCATAGTAGTTGTTAACGATCTTTTGTGTTTCTGTGGTGTCATGATCTATATTTTTAAAGATCACTCTGTGATATCATCTGAGATGCGTCCTGAGCGCACAGGGGTTTGGACAGACGAAGAGGGTGAGATGTGCTCCAGGGGCAGAGCGGACACGTGGCCGCTGCAGGCGGGAGAGGACACCAGGGACCAGAGCACACCCTTCGGGTGCCTGTGAGTGAGGCAGGGCAGGGACAGGACCTCCCAGGAGGGACAGGACAGGGGGCAGGGACCAACCACAGCAGGGTCAGAACAGGGGAGACGGGCCCTCCATGGAAGGCAGAGCAGGGGGCAGAGGGGACCTGGGAAGGGTCAGGGCAGGGAAACATTCATGAAGGGGGCAGGGCAGGGGGACAGGAGCTCCTCCATGGAGAGACAGGAGAGGGGAACAGGGGCTCCTGGGAAGGGTCAGGGCAGGGAGGACAGACATCCTGGGAAGGGGCAGGACTGGGGACACAGAGGACCCTCCATGAGGGGACAGGGCATATTCCATGGAGGTGTCAGTGTCCCCTGTCATCTGTCCCTCCTCCACTAACTCCTTATTGGGGGGTCTCCTGTCCCCTGCCCTCCCCCCTCCATGGAGGGTCCTGTCCCTGCCCTGCCCCCTCACTCACAGGCCTCTGAGGGGTGTGCTCCGGCCCCCGGTGTTCCTCTCTCCTGCCTCCTGGCCACGTGTCCGCTCTGCACCTGGAGCTCACCCACCCTCTTCATCTGTCTGAAGCTTCTGTGCTCTCAGGACGCACCTCAAATATCATTTCAAATGTCAAATCACAGAGTGATCTTTAAAAAATATCAATCAGATCATGTCTCGGGCCTAAAAGTCTTAATGGTTCTGATAACATTTCCAACCCACCCAGGACCCTTGATCCACCTGCTGCTCACTCTCCCTGCACCCCAGCAGCCAGGCTGTCCTGCTCCGGGGGCACGTGCTGTCCCTCGAGGGGTGGTTTTCATTTCCCCAGGTGGCAGCTCTGTCTCAACCGCCAAGTCTGAGGTTAAGTATGACCAGGTCTTGGGGAGCCCTTCCCTGAGCCTGCTGGGGAGTCTCTGCAGTGGCCCCAATCCTGTCCTGTGAGGTATCATGTGGCCACAGGTCATAGAGGTGAGACAGGTCATAGAGGTGACCTGACAAACATCCCAGGTCAGCCAGGTAACCAGGTGTTGGTGTTTTTTGTTTTGATGTGTCCATTTATTTTCAGACAGTGGGAGAGAGAGAAACTGGATGAGAGAGACATTGACTGGCTGCCTCCCTCATGACCCTGACCAGGGCCGGGGACTGAATCACAACCGAGGTTCGTGCCCCTGACCAAAATCCAGCCTGCACCTCTCTGGTCCTCAGGCCGACGCTCTAACCGCTGAACAAAACAGCCAGGGCTGCTGCTGTTTATTCAAAGCGGTGAATGAACATTTACTGAGTACAACCTGCCCCAGACCCTCCCCAGAGCACAGAGAAGGGGCAGCCCCGCCCGAGGTCCTGGCCCTTGGTGGCCAGGTGTTCCTGACACTGGGACGTGGGCAGGAGGGGGCTCAGGGGCCACGGCAGGGACTCAACCACATTTCTGGCTTTGAGGCTGGAGGAGGGACACAGGGAGGGTTTCTGGGCGGCCCCTGGGATCTGGGCGTGGCCTTGGCAGGGACAGGGAAGGGAACTGTCCTGTGAGGGGGGACCAGGAGGAGGAGTGCAGCCGATGAACCCACCTCAGGTTTCTGACCCCAGCACCTATGATCCCACGCTGTGGTGCGGGCCAGTCCGCCTGAGGTCACCGGAAGCCCATACCGTCCCTGTCGCTCCCTGGTCACATCGGCTAAGTCGGCTTCCTTCATGGCTCCTGTCTTCTGAAAGAATGTTCCTGCTCAGCCGTCTGTCTCCCAGGCCCCTCAGCCCTGAGAGGTGCCCTGTGCCCTCTGCCCGAGACCAGGTCCAGCGAGCCCACGGGGCGTGGGCAC